AGTGTCACATGACCAGACTCACATCGGGAGTCTGATGCAGAAACTGGGAGCAGAATTTGGTCATCAGAGGCCAGGTGAAGTGTTCAGTGGCATCGACAGGGTGTCTAAGTCCAACAATAATGTAGGCCAGAAAACAGTTTTGAATGTTCTCATCATAAAGAAGTGACAAATGTGTAGTGTGTATGCTGTAGTCATCCTAATCTGACCACCATACAGCACAATACAGGACCACAGCACATCATGCATAGTGACATGTTAGTAGACAGCTTCCTTAAAAAAGAGGACCTGAAGTTTGCCGACGAGGACAAGTTTGCCCATGTCAGTGTTCTGTGTCCTCAGCATCATGATTCCAGGAGGTCCGAGTGCATGAACTTCCCTGGGTAGGGAAGTCATTGTTGTTTGACTTCATGGAGGGTCCTAAAAGGAAGGCCTGAACCCTACTGTGCCTAGACCTGGGTCCACAGAGACAGTATTACTTCATCTCAGAGGACATGGCAGGTATCAGGTGGGGCACACCCTTGGCTGGTGCTTAGACTCTGGGAAAAATAGCCAGAAAAGAGTTAAGTATTGAGCTCTGTGTTGTGGGCTGGAGGTACATTCTCATGTTATCAACAGCTGGGCAGGAGCAACCTGGGATAAGTTATAATAAATAACTCTATTTAACCCAAAGCTAAAGGCAACCATCCCTGGCCTCTGTCAGTGGTACAGACTTGGGAAGGACACCTACTTCTCTGGGCTTACATTTTGTTATGAATCAGAGCTACACATGCCTCCTACTGAGGGTGCTCACTGAGCAGCACCTGGCCAGTGTGTGCAGATTTATCGACAGCAGTGGGAAGTTGTGGAGGTGAGCCGGCTGCTGCTCTAGGCTTTTAGGCAGGTGCCAGCGAGTGAGCCAGACAACCCTTCACCTGACGTTAGTCTTGGTCTTCATCCACACTGAGACAACCCTGCAGGGCTGCAAACTGTTTCCCAGAAGTGTCTGGGAATACAGGCCAGACCCTGAGGGGCCTGAAGACTTGGCACAAGGGTCTACTGACTTGGCACCTGGCCCCTGCTGCCTCACTGTGAACTTCACCCTCCGCAGATCACAGCCCAAGCCTGCTTCCCAGGAGGGAATGAAACCCAGAACATGACTGCCTGCACAAATCGTGTTCAGTGTGTTCAAGATGGGAAGTCAAGACTGGTATCAGCACTAAAAGCTAAGCCTTGTCTGGGGCTGCACAACGTGATACCTACCCATTTACCAGGAACAATCTGGAATCAAAGGTGAAGGAAAAACCATGAAGGACCATACAGGGTAAAGAAATACTCAGTTCTGGGGACTGTGTAGGAGTTGGGGCCTTTCTACCCCTTCTGTTCCTTAAATTCAGCCTGACTTCTGCTTTGCTGTAGACTCAGAAGGGTGCAGGAAGGGCATGCAGGCTGAGACAGGTAGAGAGATGGGCTTGAATTAGTAGGTAGCTCAGATGCACTCACAGGGGCAGGAGAGAAGACAGTACCCTGATGCCTGATGGCTCGGAAGAGACAATGGGGTCACAGGTCAAGGAATGGACATGGACTCTAAAAGCCTTCAGAAGGAACAAGTCATGCTGACACCTTGACTACAACTTGGTTTGGACTTTTGACCTTCAAAAGTTTTATAAGAAAAAAAATAAGTGTCTGTTGCCTTAAGTCGCTGTCTGGGAAGCTTGTTAAAAGCAGTAATAGGAATGAGTTCAGGATGAGCCCTTCAATCCTACCGCCTGTCAAAACCCACCTAGCCTTGATACCACTGCTGCAGAGTAAAAGTTCCTCACCCTCGTTGTTGCAGGACAATCCAGCAGACATGATACAGCTGTCAGACATTGAGTCTTTACCTGATCATGCTGCTTTGCATGTAGCAGGCCTTGGGAGTGTGGCTTATAGTTAAGTGTTCTATCAAGAACAAATCACACCTAATCTGTGTTAGGTCCTCTGCAAGTGAAAGGAGCGTTTCCAAGGGTCTGCATGACCACGCCTTGGGAAAAGCCTAAAAGCAGAGCAACCCATTTCATGAGAGCTCAGCTACTCTTCTAAAATGCAGCTTTGTCCATGGTGTTCCTGCCAAGCAGAATTTTGCTGCCTGCTTGAATGCCTCAGCCAAATGGGTTCTCACCATCTGTGGACAGAAAATCATGCTCAACTTTAACCATGGTGAGGGGTAAAAAGATGGAAACTCAAACTATCTGTGATGTTTAGGGGAGGTATTTGGGAGGAGTAAGCCCCCATGACTAACCCGTTGATTAACAGAAAACGGAATCTCAAGGTGATATATGCACACATGTGCCTCTTGGTATGTACCAAGAGAAGGGCTATCAGATATGGGGAGTAGACCTTGTGTCTGAAGGAAGGGCTGAGCCAAAACAAACCTTTTTCATAGCTAACTCTCACTGTGACACCACATTCCCAACAGCAGAGGACAGACTAGGACATGCGATAAGTCCATCCTTAAAAAGGCAGACTTTCAGCCCCTCACCAGCTGTAGCACTCAAGAGAACAGGCCCTGCCTGCCCAGCCAGCACAGCAGAGTTGACCCTGATGGTGTAGGTGTGCAAGAGCTGACCCTGAGGGCATGAAAACAGGAGAGCGGGCCCAGCCCCTTGCTCACTGTTATAAGGAGAGAACTAGCCAGGGCAGTGCTGGAGAGCTCAAAGACCAGAGAGGTGGTGGCCTGACCAACCCTGCTACTACACAGGCCCAGAACCAGGGTTCTGGGTTGGTGCCATCCAGCTTCCACCCCATCTGTGATCTGCAGAAGCACATGAAGGGGTTAATCCTGCAGACCCAAAGCTATAGAATCTCTACAACACAGGATATCCAAGAAGAGTCCCAGAGAGGGCTCAGCACTGACCGTGTGGCAGAGACCAGAGGCCTTAAACCAGACCACTGACTCTCTGCAATGAACTTGCAAGTAAAGATGTAAGGACAAAGGGGTATACTGTGCCCCACTGTGTCACTCTACAGCTTCCATAATGAGATTTTTCCTTTTTTCTTTTTTTGTGGAGGATTCAAGGGCAGAGGGCAGATACTACTAAGGGATGGGGAAATGAATGGGATCGAGATGCAGGATTGAAAGACACAAAGAATAGAAAGACACTTTAAAATAAGAGGCAGACTCTGCTCCCTGGGATGATGGTAGCCTGCTACATCCATGATCAGACATCACCCCTCCCCTGACCTGAGCACAGGCAGATATGGCATTCCACCAAACTGCCACAAACCGCAGAGGGACCTTTCTTCACCTTATCCCAGAATGACGGAACGGATGTGCTACTTGGATTTCACATGTACTAATGAATTCCACTTTCAAGTATCAGTACAAACTGATGCTTCTTAGAGGATGTGTTCTGTTTCTTTTCCACTACTGGGGGCTCCTCAAGGTCTCAGGGGATCCCTAGTTCCTGAGGTAGGCCGTTAATGTTGCTTCCCTTTTGGAAAGAGCTCTCAGCAGTGACATCATGACTGAAAGGCATTTCTTCTTCCTATATTTTTAAAGCATCCAGGACCCTTCTCCATACCACCGTTTATAGAAGCAGAGCCACCCTGCAATTACTGCTATCTGTGGAAGTTCCTACCCAATAAGGAAACATCACAGAGGAGGTAAATGACATTGTCCCGGGACAAGACTTCAACTGAGAACCCCCTGCAAAGTATCTTGTGCCAACATATGCTTCAAGGTAAGTGTTTCTGTTGATGGCTGTTAATATGCTTGGGTGCTTTCAGCACCCAAACCTGTCCTGGTCTTAGAGACCAATGTCTACCAGGAAATGGCTACAGGATTACTGTAGCTTCAGGAAAACCCATCTTCAATTGAAATGCCTTCTTTGGTTAATATTTAAAATTTCTTAGTGGGTTTTCACTTACAGATGCAGATTGCACTGGTAAACGGATGCCACTCTGGATGAGGGCTGAGGATGTGTGCCTCAACTACACCCTCCCCTTAGTCTCTCAACCCACATGCTACTGTTGCAGACCAGTAGGACAGACCCAGTCACTCATCTGATCTGCTAGCTATTAGTCTCCATTACTAGCATCCATGAGCAACCACGGGCAGTTACAGATCACAGGGAACTTGGCCTCTGGTGTTGACAAACATCCAATCTTTTTCCTCTTCTCCATGCAGTGAACTTTGGCCTGTGACCAATCACCTAACTTCTGTGGCTAGAAATGGGCCTTTTCTAGGATAAAGGGTGGCTGTATCCAGGGAGAGTGTGGATGCTTATGGAGCATTATACTTTGAGGTGGAAGCATCCTCCAGGTGTCCATGTGGAGAAGATGTGCTCTCTAGAGTGGTAATACTGGTAGACTAGAGCCTAAATCTTCAGATCATGATGATGTGCCTATCAAGCGCATTGTAGGAACCGGCTCCCTCTCCTCTCCCACCTCAAGGAGAGGTGAACTGGATTTGCTCCGCCACTCCCTCTTGCTATAACACTGCCTCACCACAGTCTTACAGCAAAGGAACCAACTGGGTATGGTGGATCCTGTGAAACCATGAGCCAAAAGACCCCTTCCTCTTCGGGCCAATTACCCTATTTGTTACAGTAACAACCAACAAAAAGGATGCTAAAAAAGGAAGCATATAACCTTCTAGAGACACGAGCATCACATCCTCCCTGTCCTTTCTGCTGGCTTTGAGGAAAAGGAGTGAGGGAAAGTTAGTGGACGCAAATGTCCCCAACACCCAGAAGAGAACCTGCTGAACCCACAGACCTTGTGCAAAGTCCCAGTTGAGCAGCACTCAGGAGGCAGAAACAGGCAGATCTCTGTGAGTTGGAGGTCAGCCTGGTCTACAGAGCTAGTTCCAGGACAGGCTCCAAAGCAATACAGAGAAACCCTGTCTTGAAAAACCAAAAAATCCCATTTAAGGTTCTGCTCCTCAAGTCAGTGGGTAGAGTTCCTCCAGATTGTAACTTCTGTCCCCCTCCCAGAGCCTCTATGGACCACAACCCTCAAGTGAGTCACCTAGGCAAATAAAATAATGAATCATAAATTTTATTTCAAAATGTAAACGTCACTAAACATGCATACATGTTAAAACAATAAAATTTACATTTCATTAATTTTTTTCTTTTGCATAGGACATTACAATATAGAATCTATGCCTTACAAAATACATAACAAAGTTTTATCCGAGCAAGCCAAGGCCAGATTGGGAACTGTACAACTGTAATACTTCACTGTAGTGATCCAGGAAAGACGGAACATGGCCTTTGGAAGCATGTTGGGAACTAGGGTTTTCTTTAAAAAAAAAAAAAAAAAGTTCCTATAGAAAAGAAAATCTGGAACTGATGATGCAAATGGCCTTGGACCCTTGAATTTTGCCTTGAGGTTTTGGCAAAGGATTCCACAGACGTTCCACTGATGGCTTTGGATGGGAAGCAGTCACCTGGGCCTAGCCAACAAAACCACAACAGAGATTTCCAGTCACCAGGAGCTCTGACCCCACAATGCATAGTGGTACAAGGAGCTTCATGTTACTGTCCATGGGGTCCCCTGCACTAGGAACCCCCGGCCTCCCCAGTGTGCAATGGGGAACGGAGAGACCCTCCCACTCACATGCCAGGGTAGTCCTCATAACTCAGGGTCTGAGTCACGTGCAAAATGGCCTCAGCTACTCCTGGGGAAGGGATATTCCCAAGTCTAGGATCAGCTCACAGGCTAACACCAGTCAGACCCATAGTACATGCTCCAGGGAAACAGGAGGGAGAAACCCCACCCTCATGCCTGACCTGTTTCCTGCCCACCCCCAGAGATGTGAAAGGGGCTGTCTTCTTTGCCATCCTGTTTGTTTCTAAATAAAAGTAGTAAAGTTTTAAAGCTATGTGAGATTGGGGATGGGGTGAGGGAGCTGGGCTGGGCTGAGCTAGACAGTTCCAAGGCAAGTCCACTAATCCTGTAGGTTCAACAGAGACCAAACAAGCCTTCTTTCCAGGGTGGACTGGGGCCTCCAGGCCAGTTCTGCTCCTTTCACTGGAGGTCAGTTGGCCAGCAAGAGGAAGGGCCTCTCCCTCAGCACTGCTTAGGCCTGTATCAGTAGTTAGCTGGATTGAGCATCCATGTTTGGGTACAAAATTCTCTGGAATGTGTCCAGGACAAACCTTCGAAGACTCAGAATCAGGAAAATTAGTCATAGGGCCTGGCTCTCCCTAGTGTTACCCTGATTTCAAAACAAGCTGAGTCCACATCTGGATTTTGGATTTGAAAGAGACAGCCACCAGGACTCACATATGGAAATTTCAGGGAGCAAAAAAAAAAAAAATGTGGGTGACCTACAAAGGCATTTCTTACTTATCGAAACATGGCTATTCATAAACCTTCTGGCACTGTCTCTGACTGATGACCTTTTGTGAAGTGTGTTCGTGGGGGGTAATCAGTAACAGCTGTCAGAAGTGAACAAAGCCACAACCTTTGTTGTGAGCTGAGAGGCCAAGCTAGTGCTCAGACTTGTCTTACATGGATGGTGCCCCTGCTTGGTGGAGAGTCCAGAAAAGCCCCTAGGAAATGCTGTGACCCTGTGCACATTGTATGTAGCACCTGCTTCTGGCAAGAAAAGGGCCAGTCTCCTGGACAGTGAGGCCAAGAGGCAGAAGTCTTGAAAGTTAACCCCTCTAGTTCTGCCACATTTCTCTTGGGACCACAGAATGTCACCTTCCCTCTTCTCCACATCTAAACCACCCTTCACCAGGGTCACCAGGATGCAGGTTTTTGCACCTGGAAGCTGCACTCTGGTGAACCCTGCATCTGTCCCAATGCTGGTCTCAGAACAAAGTTGGGATGGGAGGTGCTGGAGGTGGGACCTTGCACTTCAGGTCCTGTGGTTAGGGGGCACAGCAGGACATAGGCTGGGCACCTCCAGGACCACACTCCCATCAAGGGCATCATTATCCATCCCGACTTAGCACCCATCAAGAGAGAACCAAGGGCCCTCTGTGGAAAGGGCTGTTTTCTGTATGGCTGTAGAATTCAGTAGGCATCTGGGGAACAGACAGTGGCCCCCTAATATGGCTGATGCAAAGAGGGACTTTCTCATTTGGGACATGAGCTAAACTCCAGCCCCCTGATGGCCGAAGTCCAGAATTCCTTTTAGACATTGCTATAGGGAACTCTCCCATTCACTCAGGCACTTTCATTGTGGGATCTCTGCTTCCCGTCCCTAATGGGAAAAGGAAAAAAAAAAAAAAAAAAGATTTGACTTTTCAGTACTATTTCTGGGCGCCCTATGGGTTCCTCAGTCAAACTGAAACCAGAAAATATGGCCATAACTGCAAAAACTCAAAGACCTAGGCTGGGAAGACTCTGCATCTTAGAAGGTATCCCTTGTGTATGACGAGATGAAAATCCACTGGAAATGAGTCTAGTCATGTTCCTCCCTTCCTCCCACCCCTGGATGAGATGAACTGAAGCCCCAGATGACATGGGGGAGGGGTGGTCCATGAGAGGGGTGCTTGGCCCCACACTGAAGGACCACACCCTACCATTAAAGGAGAACCACTTTGGGAATGAAGACACGTTCGTTTGCCAAAAATAGCCAACGCCTGCATATTTCTGTTTTAAGGCAACATTACCCTTCCATCCATCAGATGGAACAGCCCTGGGTCATTCGGAGGAAAAATTAAATTAAGTGCTCTTTGGAAACAGCCTACGCCCGCTTTCCCTCCCCCTCCCCCACCCCCAACCCGCTCTACAACAAACCAGCTCTTTCTTTTATTCCAAGATGACGAGCTTAGAGTCCTTTTTACCCTTCCTAAGTACAGACAGTGGCGGAGTTATAAAGCTTCCTCCCATGTCTGTGGGCAGATCACAAGAGACACCTGGCTCTTCCCAAGGAGACCTTGGCTGGCCTTTGGGGCACACCGTTGCCTCTTTCTGTCTTCAGAACCATGGATGTAGGTGCACCAAAGGACTTTGGAATAAAATTCCTGAATCTGGAATGTGAATTCCTGAGACATGAAATGTGTTCAGAGTGTGGCTTTCTTTGCCTCACACAAATAGACTTTGGGAGGGACTACACTTTGGAACTCAGCATAAGGAAAGCCACACCCCAAGCACCCAGGGTTCCCTTCAGTCAAGGTCCCAACCACATTTTCCAATCTCTTCCCCAGATGAAATGCAAGCAGAGCTGTCACCAGCTTTACACGGGACCAGGGCAGGGACCATCCCCACCCACCAGCAACAATGCCAGCAACAATGCCACAGCCCAACTCAGCACCTACTGTGCTACCATAGCCACCATATGCCATTAGCCTCTCAAAGCACAGGTAGTTAGAAAGTGGTGCCCCAGATCCACATGGTAGCCAATGACAACAGCCAGAGACTGCAGACATGGCTGGGCATGATCTCTGGGTTTTTCCTGTGCTTCACCCCTACACTGTGGGCTGGGGTGGAGGCAGAATGGCCACAACCAAGGCACTCTGGGCCCAGGAAGCCCATCTATGGCCCTCCAAGTCACAAGGGCTGATCCTCCACATCAAAATGAAGAGAGGTCTCGGTAAGATAACCCAAGTCCATCCCAAACCCACCCACCCAATACATACTCGCGAACACACACACAGGCGCACACATACACACATACACATATATATCCAGTCCCGGGGCCTTATGTTCCTAGGCCCCATTTTCTGGGAGAAGGGGAGGAAATGCCTGGTCCTCTGCAGGGTGGGAGTTGATGGACACTCCAAAGATTTGCAGAAGAGCAAGCAGAACATGGTCTTGCTGACGAGGCCTAGCGCCCGAAGCCAATGCAGCCCAGGTCTGGGCTCCAGGAGAAACAGGATAGGCCTAGCTTCTACTTTTACTCCTGCTGGTTTACCACCAGCTCCCTCCTAGAGGCCCGCCCTGCAGGTTAGGTGTGGCTTGGGTCCTCCCAGGCAGGGAAAGCAGGGAGTGCAACAGTATGGAACCATGGGGTTTGCTAAGTCTGCACTCAAGGTTCTGAGAAGATGATTCCCATAACTTTCATGTGGTGTCCCCCAGAGAAGCAGAATGCTTGTTCCTCCAGTATCATCTCTTATACCGCCTGCTGTGTTGCTCTGCAGAGTTCCAACTGACAATGCCTTTGCCACCACGGGCAGTCTCTGTGGGATGTGAGTGCTGCCACTCGCAGGGCCACACACACAGACTGAAGAGCCAGAGGGGGCATGATGGCCCAGCTTCATACAGAGGTGCCTCCACGGTGGCCCAGGTCATGAGAGCTTGGGGAACTGGATGAAACACCACCCAGTTTGCAGGGAAACAGGTTCAGCACAACGTGCCCAGGGCACTATTTCCCAGACTGAGAACATGGTGTGATGGTGAAGGGTCCCAGATGCCTTCTGTAGGGCAGGCAGGGCCCGGGGCCGCCTCTGGGGGCTGTTGGCAGCAATGGTGTGCCAATACAGGAGGGATTTGCATCTGGCCTCCATTTTTCTGAGAATTTCTAGAGGCAGAAAGCCGGGCAGGGTGGCAGGATCACCCTCAGAAGGCTGCTGTCCTTCTCCATAGTTCCACAGTCAAGTGCTCCCACAGTCTGTCATGGCCAGTCCCTCAGACCCACCTGTGCTCTAAGCCAGGCCAAGGGGCAGAGGAGGGCAAATGAGTGGTAAGCAGTAAAAGGGTACAGGCCTTTGGGGGGTCTGTTGCAAAATCACAATGTCAGTGGCCACATCTGTTCCCAGCTGGCCTGTTCTGCCCTAGTATGATCCCCAACCTCACAGAAAACTCCAGAGTGCAAACCTATGTACAGAGTAAGGCGGCAGAAAGGCATGCCCTCACTGACCTCGTGGACCGCGTCCATCCCTGAGAGAGGGGGGGGAGGTTTCAACACCACCAAATCTCAACTTCGTGGATAGCTCTATTGTGCAATTTGTGGGTCGTGTATATTTTTTTTTTTTTGAAAAAACAATTTTTTTTTTTTTTTTTTTTTTTTTGTTAAAAATTGACACCTGAGGTGAAGAAAAGTGTTTTGCTGTGGACTTCTCAAGTTCGCTCAGCTTTCCTATTTACCAAGGGGGCAAGGCGCGGTCCGGGGGCGTGGGTGCTCAGGGCGAGCTGGCCGGGCTGATGGTGGGGCTGCTGGCATCGGAGCGGCTGTAGTCACTGAGCGAGCCGGTCCGCGAGCCCCCACCGCGCCGCTGCAGCATGCCGGGATGGAAGTTGGCGTGGCGACGAGCATGCTTCGTCAAGTGGTCGCTCCGCATGAAGCGCTTCTCGCAGATGGGGCAGCTGAACTTCTTCTCGCCCGTGTGTGTGCGATAGTGCCGCGCCAGCTCGTCCGAGCGCGCAAACTTCTTGTTGCACTCCTGCCAGCTGCAGGCGAAGGGCCTCTCACCTGCGGGAGACAGGGGCAGAGATTAGGTCTGGCCTCACCCCACCGTCTAGTCAGGCCACTGCCTCTTGCCACCCACAAGGCCAATTTTCCCATCCTGTGATGAGCTCTCAGCCCACACCTGAGATGCAAGCAGACGGCAGAGCTGGGGAAGAAACAGCCAAATGGCTGACTCTGGCAGTGGAGCTCAAAAAAAAAAGGGAAAGCATGCCATCAATACTACCAGGCCAGTAGTGTTAAGCACTACAGGAAATAGGAAGGGAGTGCAGGCTCCAAGGAACATTCTTCTCCAAGAGGGGTGTCAGAGAGGGCATTACCCAGAGTCTGCCAGCTGGGCTGCCCTGCTCTGGCAGGGGTCCTAAGGCAGGTCCGGCAGCAGTACTTCAAATGGCTCCTGCAGACTCAAGTAGGATGATTACAAAGGTGATGTGACAGAGCAGCCCAGGGGGGGCTAGGCAGGTGTGGAGAAGAAAGACCAGAGTGAGATTCTGGGGTGCTGTGCATTCACTCATTATGAACCCCAATCTACTCCGTGCTCGAATCAAAGGATAAGCTAGTGTTTACCCAATCTCTTAACCATGCATGTGCATAAAAGGGAGGGTGGGAAGGGAATAGGAGGAGAGGGGAGGGGAGGGGAGGTGAGGGGAGGGGAGGGGAGGTGAGGGGAGGAAGACCAGTAGTTCAGGGAGGAAGCAGTTGGTATCACCCCAGAATGAAGCCTTCCTGTACTGGGGGAGTCACACAGCTGCCTTTCCCGTTTTCTTGGCCTATGGAGGCTCTAAGGAAGATTTCCAGTCCTTGAAGTTAGCCCATCTAAGTCCAGCAAAGGAAATTCACAAGGGCCATCCATCTACCTTATATATAGATACGAAAAGACACATGGAGCCACCTGACAGCCAACGAAAGAAAATCACCAGCGTGACAAGTAAAGAGCAACAAAGCCACCAACTCCAGAAAAAAAAAAAAAAGAGAGAGAAGCCAGGGAACAAAAGAATATCAACCTAAAATTTCTAATCAGTATTTTCAACAAAATCTGAGATATAATGGGATGCACAGGGCAAACCGAATACCATAAAAAGCAAGTTCAGAGGAGAACAACAACAACAAAAGCATTGAGAAATTAAAAATATTCTTGATTAAACAATAATTCCAAAAAGCTAGAAATATACTCAAAGAACTATCCTGAAAAATACAAAACAAAAACAACCCTAGAAAATATGTGAACATCGAAGTGTTCCATCTTCAGTACTCTGTTGAAGACAAGGCCATATGTAGCATATTTGTTTTCTTCATTAATTTTCACATTATGGGCAAAGAAGCAAGCAACCTTGGTGCATTGCCATGAGTGGCTGTCTGTACTTTTTGGTTCTACTTTCCAGGGCTGTTCTGTGAATATATTCTTAGCTTTTCATGGTACTTTTTGTTTTTAACAGACAGTGGAGGACTAAAAGTTGAAAGCTCCAGGAATCATCAGTACAGGGGGTTTTATCCAAGAAGAGGTATAGACTGGCAAAATAGAAAAAAAAGAAGAAGAAGAAGAAAATGAATACAGGAAACTGCGAAGTGGAAAGGAAACTAAGGCAATCTGTTGTTAGCATGGGAGCCGGGAAAGAATGACAGGGGAACACACTGGGAAAATCAGGCAGAGGTGCAGGGTAAGCACACAAAAACATCCCTTGCTAGGAGAGTTTCTGCATAATTACAAGTGATAAAAAAAAATGAACTCTTTTTTCTTGTTGTTTTTGTTTTGTTTTCTTTTGTTTTTGAGACAGGGTTTCTCTGTGGCTTTGGAAGCTGTCCTAGAACTAGACTTGTAGACCAGGCTAGTCTTGAGCACACAGAGATCCGCCTGCCGCTGCCTCCAGAGTGCTGGAATTAAAGGCTCTCACACTTAAGTGGTATTCGAGAAACAAACATCAGGTTATCCACACCAGAACAAGACATGTCTAACATGCTTATGTCATATTGGACATGCCAGAGGGCAGGTTAGGGGAAGTTTATACCTCACCTAACTCCATCCAGAAAAGAGAGACAGAAAGGAAATCAAGAAACCAGGAATCAAATGCAAGGCACAGGCTTTGGGAGGCAGGGCCCCAAGGCCCACAGGGGATAATCCTAGGAAGAAGGAACTCTGGGCAGAGAGCATGATTGGGCAGAGAGCATGATTGAAATACTAAATAAACTTGAGGACACAGGAAAGGTACTTTTTTTACTTTTTTTTTTAAATGTGACTGCGAACTCTGGGAAATATAGGAGCAATCTGACACAAGACAACAATGATGAAATCAAAAGCACACTAAAATACCAGATGGTATAGTCAGTGAAGAGCTCAAGGGCCCTCGCTGCTTTTTGAATGTGAAAGTACTTCTCTTCCCCAGAAAGCCCATGAAAAGTAGCAGCAGGTCAGTGAATCTTTATTGCACCAATCACAGAAAGCCAGTGCTAGATTCCAACACTGTATAGAGTCAGTGTCATAGACAGATCCCACCACCCCATTAGAAAACATGGCTTTGAAGGAAAGGTAGAAAGATACACAGTGGAATTAAAATAACGTAATAATTGAAATTAAACATTCATCAGCTCAGGAGGAGGTGGATAGGAATGAGGTAGTCTTAAATTTAATAGTATAAAAATAGATTAATTTGAGAAATTAAGAAACAAATATACATTATATACACATAACTCACACATACACAATATTCTTTTTCTTTTTTCTTTTTTTTTTTTTTCTTCTTCTTCTTTCAGTACCCTTCAGGACAACTAAAATCTGATCAAGGGTCCAGTGCTAAATTGAACACAGTTTTATTATAAGTTTTCTGTGTTGCAGACTTGCAAGACTCAGACAGTAAAGATGTTTGCTTGTTCAAACCTGATGACCTGGATTCCATCCTCAAGACCCACAGAGTCTTGAGAGAATGAATTCCCAAAACATATATTCTGGCCTTTATACACGTGTCATGCCATCCACATGCACCACCATACCCCAATTTTTAAAATAATGTTTAAATACAATTTTAAAAATAACCCAACCACAGTCAAAAAAAATGGTAATGCTGAACTGGTTGGGAATGGGGGTCAGTAAAAAATGCCACATGCTAATTCTATTCCTGGACATTCACCAGACCTATTAACCATCAGCATTGTGGGAAGGTCTGTCATCACATGTGTCAGGCCTGACCTGGTCTCCGTTACACTGATGTTATGACACTAGACAAGCTCCGGACTGCTTGTAGTGGGATGAGCAATGAAAAAAAATAAATTAATTAAAAAAAAAAAATACAGTCAACCCCTAACTCCCAGAATTTGTGAGGTAACCTAATCTGGGGGGGGGGGTCTTTGTAAATTTAATTAGGGTAAAAATATTGAGATGAAACCACAAGTTGCAAGAGGGAAATACAGGGAGATGGCATGAAGAGACTGAGACAAATCCATCTGTAAGCACCGAGTTCCTAGACCCAGCACTGAAGTGACAAGCAAGAATGATGCTCCCCAGAAAGAACCACTCCTGCCAGCATCTTGCTCTTAGATTTCTGGTTTTGTCCAGGAAATCTGAAAAGTACATTTCAGCTGCTTTTAGCTACCCACTTTGTGATTGTGAGTTACAGTAGCAATGGGAAACAAATATGCGGCCCTGGTCTCACAATGGGATCCACAGGGTCCGTATACCACCAGCTCTGGTACCAGGCATGACAAGTTCCAAAATGCCTATTCTTATTTGCTATCCCCATCCACTACAGTCTTCTTAGATTGCAGTGGGGGTGGGGTGGTATTCAGATTCACTTGGTTTCCTAACAGCCCTGGATCCCTGTCCTTTTCAGGATCTTTCTGCTTGCATCCCTGGCAGCATATGAGATAGGTATTACTACAGACAGGCCAGGTAATGTCAGGGCTGCAGGTAAGAGGAGCATCAGAAGAGTCGAGTTTTTAACTGAGGAGGAAAATGGGACATGGTCCTCACCCCAAGAGATGCCAGCTTCCCACCTGTTCTCTATTCCTTCATCAGCCTATTTAAAAAACAAACAAACAATCTATAGACAGAAGTTACAGGAGCTCAAGCTGCATGCCCGCTGCCAGTGGTCATATCCAAGGCTGCCAAGGAGGCAGGCAGGCATTATTATGTACAATGGAGGATGGATTGGGTGTGTGTGTGTGTGAGAGAGAGAGAGAGAGAGAGGGGGGGTCTGATACTTAATGTATTAGGAAAAAACAAAACAAAACCCAAGCACACACTCCAGTGGGTTTCCAGAGGAGTGAGGCCATCAATCATCACACAGCCTCTGCAATTTTTCCACTGTATTCTAGGAAAAGCAAAGGTATATTGTCACTATAGTCAGTTTTCTCTTATGGTCCCATCAAAGAGTCTCAGGTGCTCTCCAACACCACTCTGAAGGCGCTGTTCTGGAGACTGGCCTCAGGGTGGAGTGGCTGAACTGAAATTATCACAGGACACACCACACAGGCAAGCTCAGCACCACAGCTGGTGACCCCACCTCCCACCACAACAGAGAGTAGGGTAGGCCAAACAAAAACCCTAACACCCTCCCCAATGCACCTGGAACCCTGCGCCTGCCTTCCTGTGTACAACACAGCTCCCCAAGGATAAGGCATAGTGTACCTCAGGAAGAAAGACACTGGCCCTCTCAAGAAGGTAGCTGGATCAGAGAATGCAGGTCCCTATTGAAAGCTGGTCTTTCTGAAGAATCCATAGCCCTCAGGACCCCATTCTCATAAGCTAAAAGAGACCAGGGGACAGGGCGTTGGATGACCAAGGCAGGTGTATGGGGAGGTGACTGAAGGCACAAGACAAGACAGGAATCAGGCTTCCTGAAGGGACACTGGGCGAGAAGAAAGGGACTGGCTGCTGAATGTGAGGTACTGTGACTGAGTGGGCAGGAAAGTAGGGGAAGGGAAAGTGAAGGAAGGCCAACCACTATATGGGGCTGGGCCAGGGCTAGGCTGTGTTGGTGTCACAGGGTTGAGGAAGTGCCTCTGCAGACACAACA